CAGGGTGCTCCAGTCCTGAACAGGGCTGTGATATTTCACCACTAATCTCATGGGTCTTACTCCAATCTTAGTTTTAGAATTGACCCTGATCTGGGTCCTGGATCTGACGATCCAATTTTGGTTCCAGACCATGCAAGCCCCAATTGCTCCCTAATACAATACCTTATAGAGCTAAGATTTTCTTACATTCTGGAACCCTATCCTAATAACTAACCAGTATATTTGCTAACCTTTGTAAAAATGAGATCTGGAGCTCTGTCATACTCTTTTTGTGCCCATCCCTGCAAAATTCAGTTTCTTTGATAGTTGGACTTTGGCTCACAGGTCTAAGACTCTGGTGACCAAAGAAAGATCTGGTATGCATGGCTGATTGCTGGCTCCCACGCTCTGTAAGCATCCTGACATGTGTGCCAGATGAATGAACAGAAATGGCAGGCTCGGCTTGGAGGATGAGGTGCATCTCTACCTTGAGAGCTGCTAAGTCCTTGCTGTTAGCTATAGCCTGAGTTCCAGCCGTTTCAGTTCTTGTGAGCAGATCTCACTTCAGACAACAGTGCTACTCTTTCTTCTAGTAAACATCTGGACTTCTCCAATGAATCTTGATTAGAGTCTCTAAAGGTTTGACAGTTTTATGGTCTTTATAATAAACTCAAACTCTGAGTTGTGCTTGACTTTTTCTCCTCATGCTTCTTAGGTCACAGTGTGATGCACATTAGATAATTAATAAAAGTCCCTACAAGATCCCAGTGATGAATGTAACTGTATTGTATTCAAAAAGTTACCAATAAAAAATATTTTTAAAAGGTGGCTGTAAACAATAAATGAATGCGGAAGCTGAGAGCCACTCACTGTCTCATGTTAAGGTTTGTAAGAGGTCACTGAAACCCTGCATGTCTCACCAGAAGAGGGGGAATAATAATACTTAGTGCCTGTAGGTATTACAAAGATTAGCTATGGGCAGTGTGGTACACCTACTGGAAGAGTCATGAACATCTTAGAATGTCAACAATATTATTTTAATAGAGTCTGTGTCAGAGGTTGCCCGATGTCAGCACCCTTTGTTACCAATTAGACCACAATAGTAAGTGAAATAAATCAGACAAACAAGTTTAAATTTCAAATGATATTTATTTATATCAGTCAAAATATAACGAAAGAGTAAAATAAAAGGTAATAGAAAGTAGGGAAAGAGGCCTTTGTCAAATGGGAAGGGGATCCAGAGAAGGAGGGCGAAGTGAGGGTGGGGTGAGAGCGGCCATGAAAAGAGAACGCAGATGTGTGATGTCGCTGTACCGATTCCCCACAGCGAGTGTAATCATTATGTAATCCGAACCTACACTAACAAAAAGGCGAAAAGCCCAAATCTTATGTGATTTTTAACGTAGATTGTATTTTTAGAGTCGTTTTCTATCCATAGAAAAATTGAGTAAAAGGCATGGAAAGGAAAAGTATGGTTTGATGCCCCAGACACGCAAGGCCTACCCCAGTGTTAATGTTCCCCACCAGAGGGTACATTTCTTCAACTGATGAACCTATATTTTATTTCATTCTTTTTCTCACCCACATTTTAAAAATGCCAGTCATAAGAATCAGCTTATTAGCTGAAGTCTTTCATGAAATAGCTTCTGAGAACACTGAGAATAAAAAGGCACATACTTGTCTTTTAAAAGTTTAACAGATATGTAAACCTATAATCTTTCATATAAAAACTTGGGTCTGATACGTTTCATAATTCAGATTTTAAAAAAATTTTCGAAGATATTCTATATATTACTCAGTTCATGTGGCAGTAGCCTCATTACACATGAATATTTTTAGAATTGAACATATGAATAATCACACTAAATTTAATAAAGATTAAAATAGCATTAAATATGTAGAATAGCTTCTTTTCTGTAAAATATAATTGTTCCAAGATTTAAAAATTTCTGTTTTTTTTTTTTTGAGACAGGGTCTCACTGTATAGTTGAGACTGACCTGGAACTCACTATGTAGCCCAGGCTGGTCTTGAACTCACAGTGATCCTCCTGGCTCAGCCTCTCAAGTGCTGGGATTACAGGTATGCACCACCATGCCCAGCTTACAAATTTCTGTTTTTAAAGCCTTTTGGATTTCAGAATTGTGCATCAGGGATTATAACTTGTGCTATAAGAAAAAATAGTTTTACTTTTGACATCTCCAGAAATTAAGACCATAGGGTAATTTAGCCTGATGAATAAAGAAAAAAATGGGCTTGCTAGGGCAAAGAACATTCACACAGCAATGGTCATCCTACAATTGAACCTTATCCTCTAGAAAAAAAGTCATAAATTCGATGACCCAGGTTAGAGATGAATTATGCAGGACCCCCTCATTTCATTGAAGTTGATCTATGTTTAGCATTAAGTCCTTCCTCCAATTTTCCCAACATGCAAAACCAAAACAAAATAACCAAAAAACTTGCCTTAAATTAAAGAAACAAAATGAATGTTTTCCATGATTAAACAAATTTGCAACACTTTCAGTGAATACTTAAGTTAAAATAAAAAACTAAGCATTCACTACAGAGAGACTAGAGTGTAATCAGGGGCCTTGTCTGCCTTAGTCTCTGCTAAGTTGATATCCAGGTTATAGATGTGCCGGGGATGCATGAGGTGCTCAGTAAGTAGCTGGGAATATTTAAATGAAAGGCTATGTTCTGTCAGTATAGCTGCATTTAAAATTTATAAGTAGACTTTAAATCTGGAATTGAGAAATTCAGTGGGATGGTGCATTAAAACATCCATGTGCTTTTCCACCTGAGGTTTCTATTTTGAGAAAGGCTAATTATTGTAATCTCATTTTATTGCATAAATACCTTTGAATTGCTCTTTTTGTAGTGGAGAAATACCTGCTATAGGTATTGGCTCATCTTGTCAAACTATAATAAAGAGCACCCAATACTGTTATGATAAATATATATATATATCTCCATATATATGTAACCATATCTTGATGGATTTATCTATCTGCCATTATATACATGTAAAATATTTAAGTTTTATTTTTAATTTGACTGTTAGTGACTGCTTCTAACTACTCGAATAAGTTTGATAGGGCACTTTGGAAATGTATTTTCAGTATCTTTTTTTTTTTCCACAAGAATCTTTCATGCTTTTGAATTAACTGGATTTCATGTCAGTGTTTTACTTAGGCTTTGATATTCCGTTTGTGCCTGAATGTTTTGGTAGCAATGTCAATAACATTACCAAAAATGAAGTTCAACAATCTTTTCCTCTAACATGTCTAAGGTTAGAGGGCCGAAACTCTTAGGTCAGCTTTCCCATTATCAATAAATGAAAGAAAGAATAATAATCTGGGCAAACTAAAATGCCAGGAAGGGAAATTTCGAATAATAGAAATAAAGACAAAAAGTTTTGACTGAGGCTCTGAGACCACAGTGGAATTCATCTCCCTATTAGATGACTGAGAAACAGACTGGCCACCTTTCATTACACTTCCTGAAGAATGGCCTGCTATCCAAGAATTTTCTCAACCACATGTTAGCCGAGATTGTCAGGTTTCTTTCTGACTAGAAATCCTGCTCAGAGCTGAGATCTTTCATAGGAGGTTGTGATGTGGCAATGAGAGATACCCAAACTCTACCTCAGTGTAACAACACAGATGTGTTCTGTTTATGTGCTGGTCAGACTGAGCATCTACAGAATTGTTAACGTACTTGGTAAAGCCACTTTCCTTAGAAAATAAAGAAAGATCTAATTTTTACATGGTAAGTTAAACTGTAATGTGTTGTTTTACTTTTGTGATTATTTTCAAAAATTAAAAAAATTAAATCTCTCAAATTTTGTGACTCTTGTACTTTCTTGGTCAGTTAGAGATTGTGGGGAGAAGACTCAAGCAGTGAGAGTAACCTTCCATTCTTTATGGCATTGGTAAAATAGGTAGATTCTATGAAAAGGGGTAGAAGTTTACACTGTGGCTGTATTGCCCCAGTGCCATTTGAAAATAAATGTCTCTGCAGAATAAAATTATAGTAATATTTTAAAGAAAACAGTGTTTATAATTTTTCATAATTGTGTCATGTTGGTTTTTAAATAAAACACTATTCAAAAGTTATGTTTTATATGACTGATACCTTCAATCCCTTACATCCTATAGCCATAAATTGGCATCCTTGGTTTTGTTTCAACACTAGTAAGTCATGGTTTTGTTTTAATTTTTCCACTTTTTATTGTAGCAAACTGCTCATAAAGTTACCATCTTAACCATTTCAAGTGTACAATTGAGTGGGAGAAGTACATTCCTGATGTTGTAAGCCACCATTCCCGTCCGTTGTCAGTACATCTTCGTCTTCTATACCCATTACAGAACTCTTCTTTTCCCATTTCCCCCAGCTCCTGGAAGCCACTCTCCTACTTTCTGTGACTCACAGTTTGACTACTAGGCATGTCATGTAACTGGAATCCTACAGTTTGCCTTTCTGAGGCTGTTGTTTTCACTTAGTGTTAATATCTTCCAGGTTCGCTCATGGTAACAAGTCAGCATGTTTTTAATTGCCCTTTAGAATAAATCCCTTCGTAGGGTCTCAATCCTTGCCCAATTTCTCATGTTCTTAATGTTCTAAGGCTTGAGGCTGCTATTTTTTCAGTTGATTCAGTAAAACCTAGATTCACAAGAGACAGTTCAACAGTTTACAGTTTTGAAAAAGAATTAGAATACAAATGTGTCACATAAAAAGGCTAAACGTGTCGTTTGTTTTGTTAGTTATTGAAATTTTTGAAACTCAGTGTTTTAGAGACTCAATATTCTCACTCAATGACTGAATAAACCAACAGAAGAGTTAATATTTTTCCATTTAAAATAAAGTAGATTTAAGATAAGGTAGATGTATTAAGATAAAGTAGATTTATTATTTCCTCTTCCCAACATGTTTCAGTGTTCCATTAATTCCTGGCATTATTTCTCAGGAAATGGATTCAAATCAATTTTTAAACTCTAATCCTTTTTAGGGAATGGGAATTACTGAAGAGATGGACCAAGTGGATTTGCAGACGCCTACAGTGGAACTGAAAAATTGAAGCGACCTTAGGATCATGGGCTCCTAAGAGATGATGCCAACAAGGAGTTGGAAGGCATTCATGGTACTCAAGCATGATGGAAACCAAGGGCAACTTCTGCCTTGGAACTTTTTTCTTGCGTCAGCAAGATGCAGCCAACGAGAAGGGAAGGAAGAATTATGCAAGATTTTTAGTTTCTGTCAGGAGGGTGGTGATGGTAGTCACAACAACTCATAGAAGAAGTATTGATCTTGAGTCTTTCTGTAACATCTTATTTCCTCTTCTAAGGTGGATCCTATTTTAATAAATAATTATACATTATTAGTTTAATGCACACTGCACAAATGCAACATAGTGATTTTACACAAATTAATTTAATTATTTCTCATGGTTACAGTTATAAAGGGCAATGGGAAGACTGAAAAATATTCCTGGAGTTAAGCTTGTGATACTGATAAAGGCAGAATGGACAGAAAGCATGGACAATACACAGTGAATGTTGAACACCCTGGAAATCAACTAGTGAGTATTCTGGTCCATTTTGATTTTGTCTAATTATGGTCTAATTTTTAGCCTTTAGAAGCCATCTAATCTCTTTACCAGTATGTACCAGAGTTTTGGGTTCATATCTCAAAGCAAAAATGACCCTGTATTAGATTTTCTGCCCCAACTTTTGACATATTTTTGTATTATATTTAATGTAAATATTTCCAGAAGTGGTAGGAATGTTTCTATGACTATATGATATGCAAATAAATATATTTAACTTCTTATATTTACTATTATATTAATATAAAGTTTCAATAGTGTCATTGGCTTAGTTACTAAGGATATATCTTTAAAATGTGATATTTAGATATTATATATAATTTTTCAATGTACTAGAAAACCAGCTGTTAATCCTAGATACTATCACCAGGTCTAAGGAAAAAATACCTTTTTTATCTGTTTCTTTAAAAAATGGTTTTGCATCAAGAATTAAGCTTTCACTGTATAGCCTTCACAAGCACTTGTGTGTACCTGGGTATATCTTACTAAGTAATTCTTGGTTTCAGAACAAAGGAAGGATATGTTTTGAAAGATAAAATGGAAAGAATGCTTGAAGAATAGATGAAAAGTGTGTGAAGAAATTCTTTTGCCTTGGCCACACGGAGCTGTGGCAATCAATCTGCATTAATGACTTACCAGTCCTGTTTCTCAGTAGATGACACTTGGATAAAAGAGTCCCAGGCAGGTTGCAGGTTGCTGCTGGTTGACCAAAAGAAAAAGTTTTTGTCCTTTTGGGTCATTAAATAAATGACCCTTCTGTTCTCTTTTTCACTTCTGAATTGGACACTTTGTATTTTGATCTTCAAGATGCCTAAATAGATGATAAAAATTCCCCTTTAGACAGATATTTATTACCTTCATAATTTTTCCAGATAACAATCAACTTGAAGATTTTTTTCATGCATCATGTTTATATAGTTTATCTGGGTAGATGACTGCATATTCTACTTTTTTATGGATACTGAGACATAGTTTTAAAAATATATTTTTCTTTCTTTTTCTGGTACCAGGGAGTGAACTCAGGACCTGGCACTTGTGAGGCAGAAAAATATTTTTTTCTTAAAACCAAATTCAATAATGGAATTTAAAAAAATTGAAAATTATAAAGTACAGAAAATGAATTTTTTGTGTTTTTGTTTTTCTATAAGGATACATGAAATCTTAAGTTAACCTTTATAAAAAGGAAGGAAAACATGTACCCACAGATTTCCTGTGGTAAATGCAATTGATGCTCTTCAGTGGCCTCCAGCCATCATAAGCTAATGCTGATTATCTGACAACATTATCCACAGCTCTCCACCTAGTACAGTTTTGTCTAGAGAAGCCACTTGTGTTTAAGGAGAGCAACTTGACAATAAAATGACCACTGGGGCTGCACGGTGCTCCACCTGGACCCTGCTCACGGGTTCTCCACTCTGAGTGTAGACTTACCCATTATCTGCCTTCTCTGAAAGGACTGGTATTCCCAAGAGGGCAGAAAATTCTGGAAAACCAACCTGGTGAGTTATAAAGAGCATTAGGATGTCTGAGTTCATCAACCACAGTCAAACTAAATATAACCAACAAAACAGAATCAGCACTTGAGAAAACAAGCAAGAATTTTAATTTAGATAAGTCCGTTCCTCAGATGCACCTGGTGGATAACAGGTGGGATTTTGTTTAATTTTTCTCACTAAAATATAGAGCTGTAGTCTTTATTTCTCTGATATCAGAGTTATAGAAAAAATTAACTTAGCTAATTGTTTTCTGCCAGGAACATTCTATTTTATTTATGTTTAATGACAGTTATAATTTTTGTATTCTTAAATGATCACCCCAAATGGATACAAATAATTCCAGATTTTAGCTTTGTGTGTGAGTGTTTTTGTACAATTCCAGTTTGATAGGTTTTTTGGGGGGCGCCTAGTTTGACTTTTTAAAGTTTTAGCCAGTTTAACTCACTTTTTTGTTGTTTTTATAGCTACTCAGTAATGAGTTATTAAATCAACATGATTAAAGACTAATACTAATGGCCTTAAATAAAATACTAATGCTAATAACAATAATAATAGTCAACACTTATTGAGTACATACTATGTGCCAGACATGTTAAGCATTTTGCAGTTGTTTACTCACTAAAAAGCACTGTAATCCACAAATGGGCAATCTTTTAAGAGGAGTAAGGAATGGCAAAATGGCTTTGATTCAAAGTAAAAAAGTAAACGTCATTAACTTATTTTTCTTTCCCATTAAGTTTGTTGGTACATTTAAAGCAAACAGTACAGTTAGATTTATCATTGGGATCTTGTACCTTTACATGATATATCTTGGTTCTTGTTTTTCCCCATATGCCAGCCCTCCCATATCTCCTTCACCCTCCCTTATTTACAAAGACTTTGTTTCTATTTTTTCCTTTTTTCAGTTTTTCTTTTCCCTTATTTCCTTTCCCCTCCCCTTCCCAGTTCCCCTTTAGCAATTTTCTTCCAATTTCACCCTCTTAATTATACCACTTGGACTTTATTTACAATTTCAGTTTTTCATACTGAGAAACTATTCAGTATTTACTCAAGTGTGTCCTATTTATTTCACTTAAAGGTATTGCCTCAATGTGCATCCAAGTAGCTATAAATGTTTCTAGTTTCTCCTTCTTTATGGCTGAGTAGTACTCCATTTTATAGAAAAACCACATGTTCTTTATCCAGTTTCCAATTGATGGGCATTTAGGTTGTTTCCAAGTTTTAGCTATTAAAAACAGTGGCATTATAAACATGGATGCACATATATCACTTTGTTATGATTCTTTTGAGAAGATAATCAGCAGAGGGATGGCTGGGTCAAATGGAACTTCAAATCTTAGTTCTTTGAGGTATCTCCATATTGATTGCACCAGTCTGCACTCCCATCAGCAATGGAAAAGGGTTCCTTTCTCCCACAGCCCTGCCAACATTTGTTATTGGTTGATTTCTTAATAGCAGCCATTCGTTCTGGGGTAAGGTGAAATCTCAGTGTTGTTTTCATTTGGATCTTTTGAAAGACGAGTGATGCTGAACATTTTTTCATATATTTATTAGCTGCTTTTACTCCTTTGTCTGAGAAATGTCTGTTCATTTCAGATGCCCATTTTTGAATCAGGTCTTTGTATTTGGGGTGTCTGATTTATATATTCTAGATAGTAGTCCTTTGTCCAAGGAGTAGCTGGTAAAAAGTTTTTCCCACAGAGTAGGTTGTCTCTTAGCTCTGTTAGTGGTTTCTATTGCACTGCAAAAACTTTTTACTACAATGAGATCCCAGTTATTGATTCTTTGTGCAAGTTCTTGTGCTGCTGAGGATTTGTTCATAAAGTCTTCTCCTATGCCAGTGTCTTCAAGAGTTTTACCAAATTTAATTTTCAGTAATTTTAGTGTTTCTGTTTTGCTATTTAGATCTTTAATCTACTTGGGTTTTAGTTTAGTGCATGGTGAAAGATAGGGATCTAGTTTTAATTTTTGGCAGGTTGAAAGCCAGTTTTTCCAACACAGTTTATTAAAGAGGCTATCTTTCCTCCAGCAAGGATTGTTGGCTCCTTAGTCAAGAATGAGGTAGCTGAGTAGGTCTGGTGTTGTTTCTCCATCTTCTAATCTATTCCGTTGATCCTCAGGTCTGTTTCTTTGCTAGTACCATGCTGTTTTTATCACAGTGGCTTTGTAATATAGTTTCAAGTTGGGAATTGCGATACCCCATCACATTTCTGTGGTCTAGAATGGCTTTTGCTATTCTAGGTCTCTTCTGGTTCCAAATGAATTTTTGGATTATTTGTCTAGTTCTGTGAAATATACTGTTGGGATTTCAATCATGATTGCATTGAATCTCTATAGCAGTTTTGGTAGTATGGCCATTTTCACTATGTTGATTCTTCCTATCCATGAGCAAGAGATATCTTTCCATTTTGTTATATCCTCTTTGATCTCTTTTTTTCAGAGTGTTGTAGTTCTCAGTGTAGAGAACTAGGTCTTTTGCCTCTTTTGTTAGATTGATTTGTAGATATTTCATTTTTCTGGATGTTGTTGTGAAAGAAATTGTTTCCCTAATTGCTCTCTCATTGAGTCTGTTATTTGTGTACAAGAGGGCTATTGATATTTGAATGTTTGCTTTGCATACAGCTAAGCTTCTGAATCTGTCAATTAAGTCTAGTAATCTTTTGGCAGAGTTTTATTGGTCTTCTATAGTGACAGTTTTACTTTTTGCTTTCCTATCTTTATGCCTTTTATTTCTTTCTCTTGACTAATCACTGTGGCTAATGTTTCCAAAACTATATCAAATAGGAGTGGAGATAGTGGACATCTTTGTCTTGTTTCTGATTTTAGTGTGAAGGTTTTCTGTTTTTGGTCATATAGAGTGTATTGGTTATTGGTTTTTTCATAGATGGCCTTTATTAAGATAAGATAAAGACCATCTATTCCAATTTTCTATAGTTTTTTTAAAATCATGAATGGGTGTTGAATTTTATCGAATACTTTTCCTGCATCTGTTGAGATTATCATATGGTTTTTGTCCTAGACTGTGTGGACATAATGTATTGTATTCATTAATATATGTATGTTGAACCATCCTTGAATCCTTGGGATAAATACAACTTGGTCAAGGTGTATGATGTTCTTGATGATCTTCTGTATTCTATTTGCCAGTATATTATTGAGGATTTTTGCACCTGTGTTCATTAGGGAAATTGGCCTGTAGTTCTCATTTTAGGTTGGGTCTTTCCCTGGCTTTGGATTCAAAGTAATACTTGCTTCTATGAAAAAATTTGGAAGTATTGCTTTTCTTTCAATTTCATTGAAGAGTTTAAATAGTAGTGGTGATAGTTCTTTTCTAAATGTCTTATAGAATTCAGCAGAAAAGCCACCAGGACCTGGGATTTGTTGGTAATGTTTTAATTACATTTTCAATTTCACCAAATGTAATTGGTGTGTTTAAGTTTTTATATCTTCTTTGCTCAACTTTGGAAGTTCATGTGCATGTACAAATCTGTCCATTTCTTTTGTATTTTCCATTTTATTAGAGTTCAGGTTTTTAAAGTAGGTATTGATAATACTTTGGATTCTGCTGGATCTGTTGTGACTTCAACTTTTTCATTCCTCATTGCATGAATGTGAGCCTTTTCTTTCCTTTTTTGATAAGGTGGGCTAAGGGTTTATCAATTTTATTTATTCTTTCAAAAAAGCAACTCTTCAATTCATTGATTTTATCTATAGTTCTGTTAGTCTCCATTGTATTAATTTCTGCTCTGATCTTTATAATTTCCTCCCTTATATGAGGTTTCAGTTTGTCTTGCTCTTCTTTTTCTAGAAGCTTAAGGTTAAGCATGAAGTTGTGTATTTGAGCTTGTTCTGTTTTCTTAGTATGGGTGTTTACTGCTATGAATTTCCCTCATAGAATTGCTTTTATTGTGTCCCACAGATCCCTGTATGTTGTATTGACATTATCATTTAATAGTAGAAACTGTTTAATTTCTTCTTTAATTTCATCCTTGTCCCAGTGATTGTTCAGTAGGGTGTTATTTAGTTTCCATGTGGTGGTAAAGTTCTTATGGTTTCTTAGGCTAGCGATCTCCAGTTTAATTGTGCTATGAATAACTTCAATTCATTTGAATTTACTTAAGTATGTAGTATGAGCTAGCATATGATTTTTTTTGGAGAATGACCCCTATGCACCAAAAAAAATTTATGTTCTGATATTGTGGGATGGACATTTACTAAGTTCATTTGTTCTAAGACTTGTTTCAGTTCTGTTATTTTGTTATTGATTTTTTGTCTAGATGATCTGTCTATTTGTGTCAGGGGAGTATTGAGGCCCCCCACTATAATTGTATTAGTGTTTATTTCATTTTTTATATCCATTAGTATTTGTTTTGTATAGTTGGGGGCATTACTATTTGGTGCATATATATTTATGATTATCATTTCTTCCTCTTGTACTGTTCCCTTTACAAGGATGTAGTAGCCTTCTTTGGCTCTCTAAATTAGTTTTGGTTTGAAATCTATTCTTTCTGCAGATAAGATACCTACTCCCCCTTTTTCCCAGGCAACTGTCTCACTGAGAAACGTTTTCCATTCTTTTACTCTCAGCCTATGAATTTCTTTGTGGATTAAGTGGTTTTTTTGTATATTGCCTATTTTTGGATTTTGTTTCTTAATTCGTTCTGCCAGCCTGTTTCTTTTGATTAGTGAATTGAGGCCATTAGCATTGATGGTTATAACTGTTATGTATTGACTTTTCATTGTCATCTTATTTTCCTGTTGTTGGTTCTTTTATTTTTTATTTTGCCCTCTCTTCCTTTCATTTCTTACCTTGCCTGGTATATTTGCTCTGTTGGACTTTGTGAAGTTGTGGCCTTCATTTTCTTTTTCCAGGATATTGCTTAGAAGTGTTTGAAGTGTCTGTTTGGTGTTCATCAAATTTCTCAGGTGTTCTTTGTCATGGAAGTATTTTATTTCCCTATCAATTTTGAAAGATATTTTTGCAGGATACATTAGTCTAGGTTGGAGGTTGTTTTATTGCTTGAAATACCTCACTTCAGCTCTCCTTGACTGGAGGGCTTGTGTTAAAAAGTCTGCTGTGATTCTGATGGGCTTTCCTTTACATGTGATTTGTTTCTTTCCTCTACCTGCTTGTAGTATTTTATTCTTCTGTTGGGTTTCCAGCATCATGATTATTATATGTCTACATGTAGTATTTTTTTCATGGCTAGTTGGAGGTCTATATGCCTCATTTATCTGAATGTGAAATTCTTCTCCTTTGTTTGGGAAGTTTTCTGTCATTAACTCATGAGAAGTTTTTTTTTTTAATGTCATTTGAACTTTCTCCTGCTACTTCTGTCTTATATTATTCTTCTTTGCATCATCTAAGAGTTGTTGGATTGATTTCACATGGTATCTTTGTCTTTTTAAGAAATCTCTCTTTTTATGGTCATAGATTGCAATCCTATCTTCTGTACCTTATATTCTGTCTTTACATTCATTCATCCTGCTGCACATACTTTCTATGGAGATTTTAAATCTGTGTATCCACTTGAATTTGTTTCATGGATTCCATTTCTTTCCTATGCTGGGCATTCATGGTTTCCATCATGGTCCTGAGCTCACCTATTTTTTAATGTGTTTTTGTTCTAGATTATTCTAATCATATCTTTCATTCTTCTCACCATCTCTGTGGTTATATGGGAAATTATTTCTGTTTTGAATTTTTCTGGAGCCTCATTTATCTGTTGTTTTTTACTTCTTGTGCTATCCGTTCAAGCTGTCCAGATGTTTGACTGTCAGACTTTTCTACCTCATTTCCCTTAGAGTTTACCTTTGGTAAGATGGAAGTCTGTGTTTGTGTCTTGTTTAAATGCCATCTCATTTCTATTTTTGTCATTGGTCCTCTCCTTGGTTTAATAACCTGTTTAACACTTCCATATGTGAGTGGTCTTTAGGTTTTGTGTCTCTAATGTCTTGGAGGCAATCTCATTTTCATTATATTAGGGAGGACAACTGACTAGATCAATCACAACACCTTAGCCCATGTAGTACATCCATAACACCATAGCTCAAGCACAGCTTAGAAAATGACAATTTGTGGTAGTTATTGATTTCCTTTAACTGTGTGAATTAAGTCAAAATCAAGGACCAGCCCAAAATATTTAACTCTTCAGGATGGGGATTTAGAAGGAGTTGGGAATGGAGGGATAGATAGGATAGAGAAAGGTTAGAAGTGAAGTCAGAGGACACAGGAAGATCACACAAACTCTAGGGAGCTGTTGAAGAGAAGAGGAGAAAACAGAACCAAATATATCAAAGAACAGAAGAAAATAACATCAACAGTGAGGCTACAGAATGTGATCCCTTCCTTTTAAAACTATTGACAATTCAGAGAAGGAAAAAGAGAAGGAAAGGAAAGAAAATAAATTCAAATAGGATAGGAACAGGAACAAAAAGGGAGATTAATGGAGATCAAGGTGGGAGAGACAGAGAGAGAGAGAGAGAGAGAGAGAGAGCAAAGAACATAAGAAAAACAAGATAAAAAGGAACAAATTTGAGAAAATAAAATGATAATTTTTTAAATGATTGAAGTCAAGAGAAAAATATTACTTTGAAAATAAAAAGTACAAATAGAAATAGTGGGCCTCCTTCAGGGTATGCCTTTGTTGACACAATAGTCAGCATGGGCAAGAGTGTGCAGGTCTAAGTTAATTAGTCTCAGCAAGCCAGCAGCTGTCCCCTGAGATCTGTCAGATAGGCCCAAGCTGAGATCTCTGACATCCTGCTGGGTTGAACTCTGCAAGTTTCTGCTGCAGGTTCCAGCAGTCTTTCATCTGAAGTTAGACCAGGTTCCGATGTGAGGTGCTGGTCCCTCTGACTTACCAACTATGGTGATGTGATGTGTCTTTGTTGCATATTTTCTTCATTTTTCCAGTGGGCTTCAATTTTCATCTAGGAGCCTCAGAGAGGCCCTCTTTCTCTTGTTCATGTGGGGGTGATGGTCACAAACACCACTGCTCTGCAGTTCCTCTAGTGTGCTGGGTTGAACAACATCATTAACTTATGAAATTAAGACCCCCTTATAAATCTACACTGTATTTGGGAATTTAACAAAACTTTTGCCCAATATCCATGGACACACTCTTCTCTCCTTTTCATGTGTCCCATTATCTCCCATCTTTTAACACATCTCTTTCTCAAAGTCTTTCCCAGTAAACTCGTTCTTTTTTTTTTTTTCTTTTTGAGACAGGGTCTCATTATGCAGTTGAGACTGACCTGGAAATCATTATTTAGACCAGTCTGGTCTTGAACTCACACCGATCCTCCTGCCTCAGCCTCCCGAGTGCTGGGATTTTAGGAGTGCCACCACGCCTGGCCAAACTCATTCATTTTTAATCCTTATTACTTACTTTCAACAATAGTTAAAAATCATTGCATTTATTTATTAGTTATACACAAATTCTCTCTCTTTTCTGTTAGCAAGTAAGTTCCTTGTGAGTAGAGATTTTGTTGTTATAAAATATTTTTCACTGCTGTATACCCAAGAACAGCTCAAAAAAGATACATCATAAATTGAACACATGATTTATTCTTATTATGGGTCCACTGGGTAGACTATATTCACTAATAGACACTAATGTATTTTATTGGCATAATATACATCTACAGTGTAGTGTATTGAAAAATACAGTGGCTTTGACACTGGAAGGTCTAGGTTTTAGTGTTTGCTATTGTGTCATGGTGATCAATCATTTTAACTCTTAGCTTTCAAATTCTCTTTTTCAAAGTGGTCTGAACAAGTTGCTCCTCCTAAGCTGCCAGGGCTTCTTTAGCACTCCCATTCTGATACATATATTGCTGTAGGTAGACAATACCTATAGTAGATTGCAACATGAAGATACTTAAAAATTCATGTGATATGATAAAGAGAATATGTTATAATTCCTCAGTTGGAACACTGGCAATTTACAAAAAATAGTAAAATATATTATTTAATAATCTGTTCAGGTATTTGTCCTCAAAGGATAAAAACCATCTATTTGTTTTAAAAGTCATACTGTTGCTTACTTTTCACAGAAGTGTTTGATTTTGAAAATTCAGCATTGTGACTTTTCACTCACCTATGCTTTATCTCTGTAGCCAAGCACATGTCCACATGACCATGAGGCTCACAGTGCCACTTGCTGGTGTCCACATCAAAATGACATAACTAATGACGTCTCCTCTAACTTATCTGGGGTCTGGATTAGCCCAGGAATCCTTGCATAGTCAAGATGCTCACAGGCAGAATTATCCAATACACAGGTAATGTCTGCTATAGTAGCTTTTTCCCAGGTGGAGATGTGCTGTATACAGGGGTGAACTTGGCTTTTTCTTTCCTAGAAAATGTGGTTCTTTACTCATCCATATTTATGTTAGACATTTGTTAAATTCTCTGTGCAATTACAAGTCATTGTAAGGCAATTTATGGAAGGAAGAGCTAATGTTCTAGTGCTGAATCCATATATTCATAGTAGATAAAGAACACATATGAGAATCAAGGAAATTAATGTAAAGTGCAAATGCATGGTTGGAGACTGAGCAGGGAACCAAATTGTTGACGGCATAGAATTTAATTTGCTGTTTAGACCCTCAGAGAGAACTGTGTCATATGCGAAACTTCATGAATCCTATTGCATTGGTGGTCACTGTATTTTCTAACGCTGTTACAATTTCTGAGCCTGTGTATGGCACTTTATTTAGCTGTCTTGAGTTCTGACCTCTGGTGTGTGTGTGTGTGTGTGTGTGTGTGTGTGTGTGAATTAGAAAGTTAACTTTTCTTTTGAACTTCTCCACATGGTTTGAGAATTAGACTTAGCTCTCCTTCGTTCCTAATGTCATGTCTAATTGGCTGAATTAGCTACCTCATAATTGTATCTCTAAGTCTTCCCCAATTATATAGAAACTTGACCTTGACTGTAAATTAGCCTTGTCAGTTTGGTTGGGTTCCCCAGAGTAAAATTCTTATCCTCCCCTGTTTAATCTTTCTACAGAGGTTCAGAGGAAATAAATTGATCCTTGTTTCTTAATTTTGGATAAAGATATCAATTATTTATAATGTTTCTAGGGCAATGTCAATGAATGAGTTCAGTAAGGTGGAGTAATACTTTTTTTGCAGAGGTTAATTGTCATATTGTTCACATAATTGGGAGAGGTGATGATAGTAGATAGCATCTAGTTTGCCGGTCCTTAACCCTTACTACATATTAGAATCACTTGGGGACTGTTTCGCACACACTGCAACTGAATCACACCTTAAACAACTAAATGAGAAACTCTGAAGATAAGCTCCATGCAACAATAGGTTTTTAAAAAAAGATGCTCAGATGAGTCTGATATGCAGCTAGCAACGATAATGACTGAACAGTGAAAACTCAGGGGAAATATGGCTAAGAAGAGTTAAGAGAATTGCCAGAATTCACATACATTTTGGCAGAATGGGCCAAAACAGGAAGAAAACTTGGGTTTCCTGTTGCCTGAGTATGTGTAATTTATTTCACTAAGATGCTATTTTGAAGTTTTGTTCAAAGAAATGTAGACTCCTGCCGGATGTACCTGAGCCTTTTGCCACTTCCTTTTCTAAGCCCCTTCGTGCCTTCAGTCAAGGTAAAGCAAATGCTGTTTGTCACAGAGCTTACTTGGTTTTAGTTATATTGTGGGTGGTGGATAGAGGACAGAAAAGTCATTTTTTCCCCAGATAAAGCATTTTTGATGGACTCTTTGTGCCACAGTTTTATATTTGGGGAGTCTGATTTTTTTTTGAGTTATTTATATATTTTAAATAGTAGACCTTTGTCTGAGGAACAGATGGTAAAATTTTTTTCCCACATTGTATGTTGTCTCTTAGCTCTCTTGGTGGTTTCTAGAAGAGATAATTCTTTTCTTTTAATTAATTAAATTTATTGGTACATATAAGGTATATAATGTAGTGACATTCATCATTGGAAATTTGCACCTTTACAGAATCCATCTTGGTTCTTAGATTCTTTAGGAAGTGATATTGTAACTCCAGAGCTAAAGCCAACTTTAAAAGTTAGATTTTTTTTTCTTTTAGAGATAAATCGCTTTTCCAAACCTATTCCAGCTGAGCACATTACCAACATGCTCTCCTGTCCTCAGCCACAAGGCAGAGAAAATATGTGGTTTGTGGTCCGAGGAGGCTGGAGCCCAGATTCCTTTTCACAAAAAGGGGTGAATGAACTGAAGATCACCAGAGGTGATAAACTGTGTAGATCTTTATTACCTCTCCGTGTTTCCTCTCCCTTCTGGTCCTTAATCTAAAATCCCTTCTCTCCCTATAAACTGTAAGATATAATTTGAGGCAAATAGCTCCCTCCTTCTCCTAAGGCTACCTTTGAATAAATCACTTCTCTTTTAAAAAAATCAGAATAAATAGTCTCCTTTGATTTGGCCAGCAATGAACAGACTAACCTGAACATATGAGTCCAAGTGGCCTGGAATTGTTTTGCCACAGCCAGCCAGGAGTTAAGTTCTGGTTCCTGGGAGGCATGCACCCCAGCAATGCCCTTGGGAAATGGGACTGAGTGCTCATGGTTAACTGAACCCATGACCCATACTCTGAGGGATGTTTCAGCAGCTGCCACGGACACTTTAGCACCCAGGAATTCTCCTTCCTTTCTTGTTCATGGGATCAGCTATCTATAAACACTTTTGTTGGTGAGAGGAACAAGTTTTTTTGGGGAAGCTGACAGGCTGGAAAGTCCACTCTACCATTTGGACATTTTCTTGGGTTGCTTGTCTGGGTGAAGTAAGCACCTTCACTGCTTGGGGCCTTTGGAATTATTACAGATTATTTTGGAGCATTTACTGGTCAGAGGCTTTGCAGTGCCATTTATGGGGAGGTAAATACCTTCACTTTTTTGTGGTTGTTTAACCTATTGCAGTTCATTTGGGGACGCTGGCAAGTGTGAGAAGAGGTTCAGAGGCTGAAAAAATTTTTATTTTATTTTGTTAGTTTGGAGCACTTATTTGTATTGGTTTTCTTTGCTTTTATTTTTCTCTTGTCACAAGTACCTGTGCTCCAGAATGGACAGCAGAATTTCAACATCATCTAGACACTGAATAGTTGCAGGATTTATGGTAAGGGACTGCTCAGGCTGTGTCTTCTCCATCATATAAATCCAAGGCTGTAAGATTCTCCCCACTTAAGACTCCACAGAGTAATCACTTTGGTTAGGGAGCTCCCCCTCTGGGGACAGGACAGTTAGAGGTTCACATCCAGGCTTCAGAGACACAGAATCCATGCTTCCTTTGTGACTTTTGTGAGCTATTTGGGGCTTACAGGCACTCTGAGGATTTCTTTGTGAGCCAATGATGAGTTCAAACTTCTTGAAATGTTTGGTAGGAAATTTTGGATCCAGAGACTTTAAGAAGCTAGAGAGAGTGGAGAGCTCTGTTGCGATTTGCTCAGGAATGGAAAGTGCATGTGCTACTTCATAACTTCCTGAAGATGTTTTAGAGACCTGTAACTTAGGAAAAGGTGATTTTATTTTGATACCACATGGCCTGTGTAACTGAAAGTGCACTCTGGTTTCATGCAACAGCATAATTAGCCATAGCTGCTGTCCTTGCACTTTTCTGGATCAGTGACAGGAGCCCTCTGGGCCTGCAGACCATGCCATAAATGGGCTGCTGTTGATGAGACTCTTATTGGGGTTTAAATTTCCTCTCATTTTGGCTAACAGGCCTTCATTCTAAACTGGTATTTCAGACTACTTGTCATAACTTCTGTTTGCTGGAAATTAATTTTTGTCTCCAGCCACCTTCATTCCTCAACTAGAAAAAGGAAGTTTTGACCATAGTGGCTGGCCTGTGTTTTTCTCAGTGCGGAGTATTGTTCCTAAACTTGTTTCTCTTTTGCACAACAGAGGCCTTGAGCAATGAAGCCAGAACAAGATGTGCAAACTTCTGCTAGCTATGTCTAAATTCTAACACAAGGGGAAATGTCTTAAAATTTGGAGTAAGACCTTTTTGAATTGACTAATACCTATTGTGAGGCACACACACACAAACACACAAACACTCACTCACAAAGGCTTTAGGAAATTTGGAGTAACCTTTTTGAATTGACTAATACCTATTGTGAGGCACACACACACAAACACACAAACACTCACTCACAAAGGCTTTAGGAAGTTTCAGTTCAGATGAATTGGGTCAGCATTCTCCTTTGAGATGCTTATTTCTCATGGTTTTACCACCAGGAATCTTCAGTGTGAAGGCTGCTTCTAGCACAGCGTTAATGGCAGGAGACTTAAGAGGCAGTATTTTGGTAGATCTTGGTTAAAAGTTATAGTTTATAACAAGAAGGGCTTTTGACTTCCTGACTACCCAGAGGGACAAAACACATCTGAAAAGGTGGGGTGGGTTAGTAGCATCAAAAACTCAATGCAACCAAAACAATTAGAGCTAAAGAGGTTATGAAAGAGGATTGTGATGCATGATTATCTAAAAGGAAAAGGTCCTAGCAAGTACAATGATTACACTTGATCTTAGCCAAAAGGCCCAGAAGTGATTGCAAATGCAATGATTAGATATCTCTTAACTTTGGCTTTTTTTAAATATTTGATTTCACAATTTTTAGAGATACTTCTCCAGGATCATTATGGCTAACAGTCCTTGATTCGTTTTTAATTGGTTGTCTTTCAACTATTTGTTGTAAATGCCTGTTTGCTGGAATGCAATATACATTACAAATGTGTCTTTTCCCAAACCTATAAAATATGTAGCACCAAGTGAACTCTAGTACAAAATAGAGATTCTGGGTTATAATGACACATTATTTATTAATTGTAGCAAATGTACTACTGCAGTGGGAGATATTGGTGATATTTAAGTTGTGTGTATGCGGGAGCAGGATGTATATAGTATATCTATCTTCCACTCTGTTCTATAGTGAATTTAAAATTGCTCTAAAATATAAAGTCTATCAAAAGGAAACAATGAAAGAAAACAATGTACAGATATTGGGAAATTTATCTTTTTTCTAATGCTAGGGAAAGCATGAAATTATTTCCATTTGGATGAAAACTTAGAATTTTTTAAGCCTAAAATTCACAGACACCTTGTGAATCAATGTTAATGCAATGAGTTACAGTTAATAAAAATGTGATAAAAATCACAAACAATCTTTTACTTTTTATTTACACTTCTAGATAACAGAAAAGTCTCTGTGCTCTCTGTGGAAGGTTTTTCTGGCTTGTCTTTTGGCATGTGTGATAACAACAGTAATGGGAGTCCTCATACTATCCCTGGTAAACAATAAAGGGAATAATTCCACCATTGTTATCCAGCTACCCACAAGCAGTGGAGGGTCTCCAACAGCCTCTACTACTTCTCAGTCTACAGTGACCACCACTTCAGCTCAACCTACAACAGCAACTACTTCAGCAGGATCTACAACCACTGCATTCTCCACTGGCACTATGAGAGCAACACCCTCAACCATCACTTCAACTCAGCCTGTGTCCATGACAGCTGCAGATTCCACCACAGGATCTGCAACCGCTGCAAAGTCCACTGCAGCTGTAGCCACAATGGCTTCGACCATCACTTCATCTCAGCCTTGAACCACAACAGCTGCAATGCCACTTGAAAGCAGTCGCCACATCTGCCACAGGATCTACAATTACCACCACATCCAGTGGAACAACAGCTTCAACAGCTTAACCTCTTATTGCAACGGCCGCCACAACTTTGAGTGAAGCCACAGCTGTCACCATTGCCATTGGATCTGCAGCTGTCGCATCCGGCTCTCAATGCGCATCTTAATTCACTACAGCCATCATTCCAACTGACTCTGCAATCTCTACCCCTCAAGTTGGTTTTACAGCCATAACAGCTATTTTATCACTTGAAGTTAAACCATAGCTACCACCTCTTCAATAGACTCTAAAACTGTTGTAACTTCAATAAATTTAGCTGACACTTGAAACAATTACCATTTGCGCCATCTTGTCAGTGGTACCTACAACTGTGTACACTTCAACTAAATCTAAAATAAATGCTATTTCCACCTGCCCTACAAATACTGTGACTTCTACCTAACAGTGCTAACCAAGCTCCTTCAGTAACTGCCAATCTTCATCTGTCCATTTGCACCTGCAGTCACAGTCTCCCCTTATCATTTTTCCTTAACAGAACTAACACCACCCATTAAATGATCTCTTCTATATCAGATTAACCATTATCACCACTAAAATAAACCAACTATAATGCACAATGACTTTTCCCCAAACTAAAGGTATATAGCTACCACTGCTACCATAACTGAATCTTTGTCTTTACTTTTATTTTCTTTTCATCATTATTACTATATTGTACCTGCAGCAGTTATCACAGGGCACTTGAAGAACAGTAATTTAACCATGAATAGTGGAAGAATTATCTCATATTTCATGAAATCAACACTTAGAATTTTTAGAACTATTAAAGCGGAGTTATTTTTATAATTAAACTACAAGAACCTGATCTTGGTTCTACAGTTTTTTTTTTTGGTATTAAAAAGTTTTTTTATTTTAAAATTTGAATCAAATTTATCTCAAAATCACAGAGTACAAAATCCCTTAAAAATATTACAGTTTTCTTCCTTTCTTCTTGACAATATTGAACATACATGACAATGAGTGGTGGGTTGTCCTTAGGTTGCTGACCTACCTCTCTCAGAAAGGATTAAGGAAGCTCTCATGGGATTTCTATGTTCTCTTGAGAGCAAGTTATTATATAAGCACATCTAGCTCCAGAATCCCTATCTGGCTTGCCGCTTTGAGCTAAATTATCTTTCTTATACTCAGCTCTGCTGTTATGCCATCCATTAGAGACTAAAATCAATGAGGATGACCAAATTTGAATGGTCAACCTTCAAAACAGTGAGGAAAAATACATCTTTTTATTTGTGTAGTTAACCTGCCTTAGATATTTTATTATAGTAATGAAACTGACCAATGTACCAAAATGTTCTGATAGCATAATTGGTTACATTTTAGACACTTTGTTCTACCTTGACCTTGATTCTGTAGTTTAAAATGCTACAATTTCACATAGAAAAAAAATGATCTATCAGAAAAAGTGATCAATTTGTTCATTTAGGAAATAATAAATTTTATATAAAACTTTATATAAAAACTATTCATTTACAATTTAATATGTATTGGTTAACCTCAGAACACTGAATTTTACAGTGCACAAATTACAGAATAATAAACAAATTTTATGCCCAGAAGAGTTAAACAAATTTATGCTAAAATATATGCAAGAAATTATAATTGTTTCCTCTAGAGTAAAGTTTGCTATATTTCTTCAATTTTTCATTATATTGTAATTGCCTTTTAACTAATCATATTCTATTTGGACTAATATTACAGAAAGTGTATTTGGACATTTTGAAATAATATTTAAAGCTAAATAACTAATTGTCTGCAATCTCAAAGTCACTAAATGACATTTCTTAAATCCCTACTCTGTGCTATAGCATTGAAAAGGTACAGAAAAAGAAAATAGTAATTTATACTGAATAAATTATTAACTTATGCTGTTAATTTTTATTTTTAATAATTCTGAGATTAAATTTCAATTGATGAGCTCTCATATTTATTAAATTAAGATCTTTAGATTGGAACTATAACATAAAATAGTTTCATAAAAATTTGTAATATTCAGAAAGTTATGAGAAAGTCATAGTGTAATGATGTGAGTGATGCAAATTATAACTAAAATATTAAAAATCAGAATCACATTCCAAGTATGTAAGAAATCATAGATCTAGCTAAGTATAAAAACTTACTTAAAAAGCCAATGCAAGATCAAGACAGGAATATTTTATTTATCAAATAGTAAAGACATTTTCAAGAAAATCCTTAAATTTTATATTTCTGTGCAAATTTGTAGTAATTTAATCTCTAAAAGAATAGTTGTTTAATTTTACTTGCTGAGTTATCTTAGTTATGTATGCTTAGAAGTACTGATATTTAAGTAACTATATTAATTTGGAATTTAAATAATGCATTGGGTTTCCCCTTCCCTCCTTCATATTTTTATTCATAATATTTTATGAGATATTTAAAACATCATTGTTTAGGCAATTCAGCTTCTGAGTTGGAATTACTGTTATTTAATTCTTTTACAGTTCTGCTTGTCACCAGAATAATAAATGATCTAAGGTTTACACATATTGGTGAATAAATACATATACAGTTTGTTTTATAATGAACAACAAAATTTCCTCAGCCTGTGATATAGTTGGTGCTTAAGAAATACATGTAGAGTGAATGAATACATGGCAAATAAATTGTACTATATGTGATTCATGAGAATATACTCTCTGAATTACTTACTGTATCTACCTGGCATATAGTAGAACCTCAAAATATCCATAAAATGAAAGCTAAATTTTAAAGATATGAGTCTGGAAGAATAGACAATTGGGCATTTTGAACACTGGCATTAGTAAAACATTTTTGCTTAGATTGAATTATTCTAATCTTTTAATCTTTTTTCTATTTTTATTCTAATCTTTTAATCAAGACATTTTATAACTTTTAACATTGTACTTGATTACTTTCTGAACACTGGAAATTATCATAAACTCAGAGATCATAATTTATCATAGCATGGAATAAAATTTCAGGTCACTGTTGTTCTGTGAGAGAGAATCTGGCTTGGGGTGGTGGCTTGCATAATGGCTAAACTAATTTACCTTCCCACCATTAGTACATGCTCTGTTCCTCTTCCTCCTCAGTTTTTATTAGTTTTGGTAACAGTTTTATCTTTTCAATAATAGTGCGAACTGGAGTGAGTCGATAACTCACTGTGGTGGAAGGACACAGATGTTAGAGTTTACATTATTTATATAATACGAAAATATAGAATTGAAACATAGCAAGTGGTCAATGTGAAGGTAAGGATACTTCATATTAAATTTTCTGGAAACACTGTTAATTGACATATTAGGTCAGATAATTCTTGTGACAGCTGATTTGTAAATTATGGCATGTTTATTAACATCTTTGTACCCTACTTATTAGTTAGGTCAATAGCCAATCCCCTATTGCAATAACAAAAAATGTCTCTAGATGTGGTTAAATGTTGCTGGCTGGGTATACATATTTGCTAAAAATTTACATGTCTGTAGTTTCATTTTAAAGTATTTAAAATGTTTTCTAATCTTAACATTTATTTCTGCAATATGATTATTTTAACTATATTTTAATCAATACCCTATAAAAACCTGATCCATCATAATCTTAGGGTTGCATGAAAATAGCACAACTTTAAAATTCTACATATAGATTTTAATATATAATTCCATGGATTTAAAAATGAAAGCCATTCAAAAACTGAAAACCTTCACATTAAAATCAGGAACAAGACAAGGATGCTCACTATTATCACTCCTCTTTGATATAGTTCTGGAAACATTAGCCACAGAAATTAGACAGGGGAAAGAATTAAAGCAATAAAGATAGGAGAGGAAGAAGTTAAAATGTCATTATTTGCTGATGATTTGATACTCTACATTGAAGACCCAAAAAACTCCACCAAAAGACTTTTAGAATTAATTGATACTTTCATCAGAGTAGCTGGATACAAGGTCAACACTAAACAATAAATATCCTTCTTGTATACAAATAACAGACTTACTGAGAGAGAAATTAGGGAAACAATTCCTTTCACAATAGCATCCAAAAAAATGAAGTATCTAGGATTCAGTGTAATGAAGAAAAGACCTCTACACTGATAACTACAACACTCTGAAAAAAGAGATTGAAGAGGATATAAGAAAATGGAGATATCCCCTGTTCCTAGGTAGGAAGAATCAACATAGCGAAAATGGTCATAGTACCAAAACTGCTATACAGATTTAATGCAATGCCAATTGAAATTCCAACACTTTATTTCACAGAGCTAGAAAAAATAGTCTGAAAATTCATTTGGAACCATAAGAGACCTAGAATAGCAAAAGCCATCCTAGGCAACAGACACATGGCAGGGGGTATAACAGTCCCCAATTTCAAACTATACTACAAAGCCACTGTGATAAAAACAGCATGGTACTGGCACAAAAACAGAACTGAGGATCAGTGGAACAGATTGGAAGATACAAAAACAACTGTAGATGTACTCAGCTACCTCATCTTTGACAAAGGAGACAAAAATCTTCACTGGAGGCAAGATAGTCTCTTTAATAAAAGGTGCTAGAAAAACTGGATTTCAACCTGCCAAAGATTAAAACTAGACCATTATCTTTCACCATGCACTAAACTAAAACCCAAGTGTATTAATGATATAAATATTAAAAAAGAGACACTAAATTTGCTGGAAGATAAGTTAGGCAGAACTCCTGAAGACATTGGCATAGGAAAAGACTTTATGAACAAATCCTCAGTAGCATGGGAACTAGCAGAAAGAATTAGCAACTGGGATCTCATCTTATTAAAAAGCTTCTGCATTGCAAAAGGAACCATCAACAGAACTAAAAGACAACCTATAATGTGGGAAAAAGTTTTTGCCAGCTGCTCCTCAGACAAAAGACTCTTATCTAGAATATATAAAGAAATCAAAATAATCAGCCCCCTCAAATATAAAAATCCGGTTCAAAAATGGGCATCTGAAATGAACAGACATTTCTCAGACGAAGAAGTAAAAGCAGTAAATAAGTGCATGAAAAAATGTTCCACATCATTGGCCATTAGAGAGATGCAGATGAAAACAACACTGAGATTCCACTTTACCCCACAAAGAATGGCTGCTATCAAGATATTACACAATAACAAATGTTGGTGGGGTTATGGGGAGAAAGAAACCCTTCTCCATTGTTGGTGGGAGTGCAGACTGGTGCAAGCACTGTGGAAATCAATATGGAGATACTTCAAAGAGCTGGGATTAGAGGTTACGTTTGACCCAGCCATCTCTCTTCTGGTATCTTTCTAAAAGAATTGAAAGAATCATATCACAGTGATATATGTGCACCTATGTTTATAGTGGCACAGTTTGTAATAGCTAAAACTTGGAAACAGCCCATTTGCTCATCAGTTGGAGACTCCATAAAGAAGATATGGTTTTTCTGTAAAATGGAATACTACTCAGCCATAAAGAATGAGAAATTTGATACATTCATAGGAAAATGGATACATATTGAGGATATACTCCTAAGTGAAATAAATAAGTCACACAGGTGTACATACAAAATAGTTTCTCTGATGTGAAAAACTATAATAGTACATAAGATCCTAATGAGATAATTGACAATGTGAAATAGGAAGAAAAGAGCTAAAGGTGTAGGGAAAGTGGGAAGGGTAGGGGAAAGGTAATAAGGGAAAAATATATGAGAAAATGAAAAAATGGAAATAAAGTGTTTGTAAATGGGGAGGGTAGGAGGGGGTGAAGGGAGGGCAGGGACAAGGGG